TGTTTTTCCTGTCCATTTTTTAAATTGATGAATTCCCTGTTCAATTAATACTTGTATTCCTTCAATTCCAATCCAACCCTTTTCTTCTCCCTTTTTAAGTAAATTTGTTCTTCTTGGTTTATATGCCATTTCAACAATTACTCCTTTATCACATTGAAATATTTCATCCGGAAACTCCATAACTGATGTTCCAGGAATTGTGGAAATAATTATTTGAGGGGATTGTGAGAATGTTTGTGAAAGAGATGTTAAAGGAACAATTCCGCATGTTGGAAAATGAGTGACCAAATCAGTAATTTTTGCAAGTGTACGATTGTACACGTAAATTGTTGATATACCAAGCTGATGAAGTGTATATATTGCCGCTCTTGATGTTCCTCCCGCACCAATAACCAAGCCTGAACTTGTAGAATCGATACTTACTAAAGGTTTTACTAAATGAAAAATTCCTAACCAATCTGTATTATCACCAACTAGTTTACGATTACCATTTGAATCAACTTCTACAATAACAGTGTTTACCGCACCGATTAACTTTGCATGTTCAGAAATATGATCAAGATATTTCATAATACTAATTTTATGAGGTACCGTTACTGATGCACCTCCAAACTGCGAATCTTGTAAAATGGGTTTAACATCTTCAATATTCTCACTTTCAAACAAATCGTAATGATGTGGTAAACCGAGAACTTCAAATCCAGTATTATGAATAACTGGTGACACGGAATGAGAAATCGGTGTTCCAAAAAGGTAAAAATTCTTTTTTGGAAGTTGGCCAATCAAATGTAAAGCTTGGTGAATTTCGGAAACTGATAGTTGACCTGGAGCTGATTTTGAAGGTAATAGAGGATGGGTTACCGGAGTAAGAAATTCATTTAAAACACGGGATAATTGTCCTTCAACACCCATATTGATTGCAATTATTGGTTTTGTACGTGTTTTTAATGACCAAATAAACTCCTGTAATTTAAAATTATCTACAATAGATCCTGCACGACAAACTAGTTTTATGATATCACCATATTCTTCCGAAGTTCTGTAATGTCGACGAATCTCTTCACTATCCCATTTCACAGTACCCATAACATCATGCCAAGAGGCAATTATTTTTGTGTGTCCCTTATTTTTGATTAAGTTTGAAATTAAATCGTTAGACCAGCAAATCTCTACGTCAACGTATTCACAACCCCATTTTAATGCTTGTTCTAAAAGAAAGAATAGTTCTTTTTCTTGAGTATCAGGAAATTTACCACCCTGCCCTTGAGATCGGACAGTGAATATTATTGGAAGTGATGATGAACGTCTCAATAGTGTAAATTGTTTTGCAACATAATCTACAAATGATTCTGTGTTCGAGTTGTTAGAAAGTGAATCTACCCGAAGTTCAATTGCATCCGCGCCGTGAGTTATGGTAGGTATATGTTGTAATTCAGAACTTATATCCGAATACATCAGACAGACAAAAAAAGGTTTATTTTTTTGTTCGCTATTAATTTGGTTGGTGTCTCTTCCAGTAATAAATTTCATAAATCGGATAAAATTTTGTTTCTTCATAATGCCACATCGATGTATCATCACTAGAAATTGTTGAAACATATTCATAATTGGAACACTCTTTATACCATCCCTCACGTCGTTTCCATACGTCAAGAAATGGTTCACCATATTTTGGACGAGCTGTATCTTTGTTTAACCTATTTAAATATTCCTCCACTTCCTTAATATCCCTTACTAAATGTATAACTATCCCCTTTTCCCGTATATATGCCTTCAAAAGATCACGGGCATGTAGGCTTTCAACTATTCCACCACCACAGGAGATTATGTAGCCTGAAGGATAAGCTTGAAGCAATGATGAGAGAATTTCGAATTCTTTCTCACGAAATTCTGCCCATCCATGTTTTTCTACAAAGTCGTGTAATGTTATGGATAAAGTGGTTTCGAAATGTTTATCGAAATCGATAAGCTGAAAGTTTAATGCATTAGCAGCGATTTTTCCAAACATCGACTTTCCTACACCACGCATTCCAATAAATAACAATGATTTATCTTTTGAAACTTTGATTTCATTTTTTGTCAACAATAAATCTTGCTCTGATTCTATTTCTAAACCATCAAATTGTATACCTAATTTAGATTCCAAATCATCCCACCAATTTGGCCACGTTTTTTCTACACATTTTTTCTCACGTATAATCGTACCATTTGATACAACACATCCAAGCACACTAAAACTCATTGCTATTCGGTGATCATCATAACACTTAACACCTTTTTCTGGACCTTTGAGTGATTGAATTTTGGCACCATGTATTTGAATCCCATCAGGAAGTTCAGATGCTGTAACACCAAATTTACTTAATTCATTGACCATAGCAGCAATTCTATCGCATTCTTTAACTCGTTGATTTGCAATGCCTGTTATTCGAGTAATACATTCTCCAGCATCATTATTAGAAGCAACAGCAGCTAAAACGGAAGCTGTCAAAAATGCATCAGTCATTGATTCCATGTCAATTTGTGGTAATGGACGCAATGAACCAATTGGGGGCCCTTTCACTGTAGTGCTTGTTGCAGTTTGAGTAACTGTACATCCCATAGGTTGGAGGACCTTAACAGCAAACGCAGCATCACCCTGAAGAGAAGCTGAACCTATGTTTGGAAGAGTACAAGTGATGCCAGTAATAGCAGCAATCGCCAATGGATACGTGGCAGAACTAGCATCTGCTTCTATAATATATTCACTGGGATTTTTATAACAACCTTTCGGAATTCGATATACATCACCATCAAGACGTTCTACTTTGATACCAAAAGAATCCATCACTGCAATTGTCATATCAATATAGGGTTGAGATATTACCTGTCCTCCGGTTAAACTTAAAGTTACCGGTTCATTAGCATATGGGGCACTTAAAAGAATAGATGAAACGTATTGAGATGATATAGACGCAGAAAGGTTAATAACGCCACCATGTAATCCCAACGGAGCTATTTCGAGTGGAAGACAGCCCTCATTTTCAAGATAGAGAATTTGAGAACCATTTTCACGAAGTGCATCCACTAAAGGACCTATTGGTCGTTGTTTCATACGCGAATTTCCAGTTATAATAGTGGTTTTTCTTGTTTCAGTTTTAGACATTGCGGAAACTAAGGTACAGACGGTAGTAAGAAATCTGGCAGCAGTTCCAGCATTTCCAAGATAAATTTCCTTGTCGGGAACCTTAAGATTACCACCACCACCTGTTACTACCAAAGTTTCACCATTATCTTCCCATTCAAATTTTGCACCACCAAGATTTTGCAAAGCAGCCAACATAACTTGTGTATCATCCGAATGTAACAATCCTTTAAGTCGACAAGTGCCAATTCCAAGTGCAGAAAGCACCAAGGCACGATTTGAAATAGATTTTGATCCTGGAGTCGTCATTGTTACATGATTAGGGATATTAGATGAAGATGTGACGGGAATAATCGAAACAGCAGGTGAAAGAACCTTTCTTATGTATGGGTCAGAAACAAAGGTAGCTTTTTGTTCCAAAGTTTTTCCAATTCCAGAGAGTATCACAATTCTCTTTTTATCACCTAAATTTTTTTTATCAACTTTCATGAATTCCATTATTTCATCTACAGAACAATGTCTATTACCCACCAATTTTTTAATTTTTTTATCATCTAAAGAAATAGGTAAACCATAACTTTCCAAACACCTAACCAATCGACCTACAGCTACTTGGTTTAGGTGACCAAGACTTCTTGCAAGTTCCACCTCTTTAACTATACCGATAGAGACGCATTCACCATGAAGGAGAACTTCGTACAAAATAGCTTCTATTGCATGACCAATCGAATGACCAAAATTGAGAAGACCACGAAGACCACTTTCCCTCTCGTCATTTGTTACAACATTGGCTTTAAATTCAGCAGAATGACGAATAACAGAAAGAAGAAGGGATTGAGCTGGTGTGCGAGTTTCTAATGTTGCACCTACGCAAAATATTATCTAGATATATTAGAATCCGAAAAAAGAAAAAAATTATAACTTTAGGATAAAAAAAAACTTTTCATAAACCTCACCTTGAAAAGGAACATCTTTTTTAGGATTTAGTACGGCATCACGAATAGTTGCAACACCATTTTCAAGAGTTATAAAACTACTTTCATTATTAATTGCAGCAGTCTTTATTACTTCAGCCATACCATTTATAAATTGTCGTTCAGGTAATGATTCTAAATAAATTAAATCCATGTATATTCTTTTAGGTTGCCAAAATGCACCGATCAAATTTTTTCCATGAGGAGTATCTACCGCCGTTTTACCACCTATAGATGAATCTACCATTGCAAGAAGAGTTGTTGGAACTTGAACTAATGGTACACCACGCATAAAAGTAGCAGCAACGAAACCAACCAAATCCCCAATCACACCACCACCAAAAGCTATGATACAAGTATCGCGAGTACATGTTTGACTTAGAAGGAAATCTTCAATTTCAGCTTTAGTATCACGAGTTTTTGATTGTTCTCCGGGAGGTATCACATAAGAAATAAACCTTGGCGGTACCGCATTATTTCCTTTAGAAAGGAATAATTTTGAAACAATATTTTTAAATCGAATCGATATATTTTCAAGATAAATAGAAGCAAGATTTGAATCGGTAATTAATGCATAAGTTGATGCAGGAATATTAAGTATTATATCTCGTATCATATATTCAGTTAAATGAAATCCTAAAATAATAGATTCTTCATGAAGAACAGATATTTTTTCGATAGAAGGCTCTGGTTGTTCGGTAAATGTTG